AAGAGGTCCCCTTAGCCCTTTACACGGGTACACCATGCTTGAATGAAGCAAGGAGCGAAGATTTAGCCGTCGAGAGGTGTCCCGCGTCCAATCTGATGGACCCTTCTCATCATACCACTTGCGAGTGGGCATGGCGGCGAAGCAGGAAGGGCTTAGAAGTAGGTCTTTAGTAGTAGAAGTAACTAGTAGTAGCAGTAATAGTAATTAGTAGCAGCAGTAGTAGCCGTAATAGTAGTAGCAGTAGTAATAGTAGTAGTCCAAAAATCGTTCCCAGAAGTCCAACCTGCTGAGGAGTCCCGAACTTAAATATAATCATCCCATTAGTCCAAGGTTCCTTCCTAATAGGCCACGCATCACTCCCAGTCTTCCAAGCTGCGCCCCATCAGTCGAGGCTGGGAGTTCTGAACTTGATTATAATTATCCCATTAGTCCATTGTTCGTTCCTATTACGTGTACATATATAGCACATTCATATATGCATATATGTATATATGTATATATGTATATATGTATATATGTATATATGTATATATGTATATATGTATATATGTATATATGTATGTATGTATGCATTTAAATGTGTGTGTGTATATATATATACTATGTATATATATATATACGTATGCACATGTCCGGAGATTTCGCCATTTCGTGTGGCGCAGTCTGCTTTGGGCTAAGGCTTGAGGGCGTGCAGTTGTCATATCGTCTACCTCTCTACCGACACAGAAAGCGACGAGCACCCTGCGGGTACCGCGCGGGCTCACGGGCACACGGGCTCACGGGCTTCTCACGGGCAACCGGACAGCACGGGCTCACGGGCTCACGGCACGTCACCCGAAAAGACCATAGCCGATGGCAAACAGGCAGTAGCCTTTTTCGACTTACCGAAGATTTCCAACCTGATCCCTTTTTGCTGCACATGCCAGTTTGGGTTCTCTGGCTTTCAACTCAGCATGCCATTGCCGTGCCATTGTCTCACAAGACAGTCACACACAGATCACATTGCAACAGCAAGGAGCAACAGCTAAGGGCTGTTCGTGCAAACGTCGGAACTGTGCCTCCAGCTGCTGGGCCCTGCAGGCAACTTCCGGAGTCAGCATGGCAAAGAGCGATAGCAGGCAAAGCCTGACATCCCAGCGTGCCATCTCCCTGTCCAGTAGTATTCGAGCCTGCCAGTGATCTCAATACTCCCTCCCTACCAACTCCCACCTCGGCAACTCAGTGTGCCTGTGGTGCCTGTGGTGCCTGTGATGGCTGGACAGGCTGCCCAGGCCGCCTCTGACAAATCTCCACGTCAACATGTTCTGTTGCTCAGCAGCCAGGGGGGCTTGGCCGAAATACGACCTGCAGCATGATATCCAGTGAAGCACCCGGGAATCGGCCTTCTTTGGATCAGCGGCCTGGCCTGTTTGCACGCGTTTTGCGCCCTTACTCCCAGAAAAAGGCCGACAGCATGGGTAGACATGATGCAACTGCATGTCTGCCTCCTGTGGCAGATCTCGCTTCCTCCCGCAGCGCCGGCAGAAGAGCGCGCTGTGGAGAAATGGCTCTCCGCAGGCGCTGCAAGCCTGAGATATCCAGATGTCAGCGTGCTCCCGTAGAACAATCGAGCAGTCACTTCTGAGATGTCAGTAGTGGACTTTGCGGCAAGTCTTTCTGGGGCCAGCGCGCTCCAAGGCGATCTGCGAACGTCCTCGTGAATATCCTCAACTCGGGCAGCACGAGTCATGAGCATTTCAATCACACCACTGCACCGAGAGCACCCATGCGGCCATGAGGTAGACGTTTTACTACACAAGGCTCTGATACTGAAAATCAGACGGGGCGGCTGTTTGCCACAAAGCCTCTCTGTCTCAAATGTTAAACAATTCAAACACAACATTGCCGACAGGCTGAAACCCTGATGGCATGTTGACGAAAAACAGCGCCCATGTGACTTTGACTGGGAATGTAATGGTGCCTCAGGCCACCTGTCTAGGCAGCCGGGTGAGGATCTTGCAGCATAGTTCCTACCACTAGTTTCTAATTACCCAAGACAAGATCTTGTCTATCAGCACTCGAGGTGAGCCGCGTTTGTCGCCGCATGGTGAAAAGCATGCCGGCCGAGCTGGTGCTGAAACTTGGCAGACGGTGGCAGCCCGAAAGCGATTGGCATCTAAGAGATGATTCAGGATGCCTTAGCGCGATATCCCTATTGGTTTTGGATGTCCGCAGAGCGCATACAGCATGATGCTTCTGAGGCCACTGCACCCTCGTGGGTTCTGGTTCTGCGTCAGACGCTCTGTCCGTCCGGCGCGCAGTGCCCGTCAGAAACAGCCAGCCAGCATGACCTGAAACAAGAGATCTTGATTCCAATCGCACCCTACGCGGGCCATGAGCATCACCCCTGCATCAGCTCTGGGTCGCATACTTGTGGCGAAGCCACTGAGACGTCTGAAACCAGAGAGCGTCTTTCGCTTCTCTGGATGCTTGGTATGTCTCTCGAGCTTGAGCACCTCAAGCGGCCCACTCACAGAGGCCTCTAGCACAAAATGATGCTTAGCAAGATCTACAGCAGGTCTCCAGTCAACTGCGCCTGGTCGGCGAAGACGCTCAACTCCAAAGTGAGGTCCGCAGAAAACTCCGACCTCAGGCTTCTACTTGGTTTCTAGCTGGATGAGTGGAGGCCAGATGCTGTCCAGAAACTGTGCGAGCTTGCTTTCGACTTTAGACTCCTGGGACGAGCCCTCTTACTCCGCTAAGCTGGGTAGAGCCGATCAGATGGATGATGGCTAGTCAAGAATTCCCCTTGTCGGTGCCTGGATCTTCATTCCAGAACTGACTTCATAGACTTCAGAAGCTTCTGCTGTGCCTTTCTCAGAGCTGTCTGACGATTGCACCTGGGACAAATGCATATAGAACACTCGAAAAGGCGTGCTTGCTGCTCCCAGCTAATGTCATGCAACTGTGCTCTAAAGCGGCCTGCCAAGTGAGATGGTATACAATGTATACAGCTCCGGCAGTGCTGGTTGCGAAGCCGTTCAGCCGACGAAGCCCTGGCTCAGCCATGCTACAAGTAGCTTTCGGCCCTTCAAGCTCTGAAAATGGGATCGTCCTGGAAGAGTGCGGCAGCTTGGACGCTGCGGAGCCCGAAGAGAAGCCTATCTAAACACAAGATGAGCCTTTGCCCAAGTCACCAAAGCCCGACAACCTTGTACGCTGTGAGAAGCGTTGAAGCACTTGGCCCAGTATTCTGGCTTCCGCACGAAACTGCATCAGGTGACGCAGACAACACGCCAGTGCCAGGCGCAACCTAAGATGTCATTGTCTTCCCATGAAGTCCTACTGAAACATTACAAGCATGTTCTCATGCCCTGTGGCCACTGTCATAGCCGTCATAACCGTTGTGGCAGCTGCGGCAGCCACCGGCATGGATTGGATTGGCACAAGCGGTCGAGACGGAGGAGGCACTGTCCTGCAAGAAAGCGCGAATTTCTCCAAGGATTTTTTGGATGTTCATTAGGCCTTGCAAGAGGCGGGGTTGTTACTAATCAGTCGGTCAGAATATGCATCTCCGCATGTAAAGGCTGAATCCGGGAATGTATACATCATTTGGGGGATTATTATACTTCGCGAATCGACGCATGCAAATTCTGAAGTACACTCTGTGTTTGGAAGAGCTGGAAAAGTATACAGAAATGACGCCTTTGTGGCAGACGCCGACGTTTGCAATATGTATGACACGCATTTTGGCTACCCTACATCAACCAATCCCAAAGTAGACGCTGTGTGTGGAAGAGCAGAAAGAGTGTCCAGAAATGTTGCCGAGGTGACAGACGCCAACGTTTGCTGTATGCTGTATGCTTCACACACTGTGGCCACCCTACATCAGCGAAGACGCTGCGTTTGGAAAAGCTGGCATGTTTCAGGAATGTTTGAGAAGTACTTTGGCAACCCCCCAAACACCATGTAAACGCATTGTGGACACATGTCCTGGATCCAGCTCTAATGTTTTTTCAAAGTGCCTTGGCAACTCCCAGCACCCTTGTAGACGCAACTTTGATGCGCTACCCGATACGCCTTTAGGGATGCTTAGGGCATGGGTGAATGCTGTTGCCAAACTGCATGTCGCTGTCCGAATCAGCACTTTACACGAGTCGTTAGTTAAAAAGCAGTAGCCTTGCTTTAGGCTTGGTTTGCCCAAGTAGACGCTCGATCGATGCATTACAAACCCTGCCGATGTAAGATAACCCTACGTACCACTGGTGTTCCGCGTTCTGAGTTCCGAGCACTACAGGACGAGGTGACTCGGGTGTCGCAGGGACCTGGCAAACCGAAGTGTCATTATCTTCGCAGCACGCTCTCTTGCAGCAACTCTCGGCGGCAGCGCGATTGCGCCAGGCACACTTCCAGGAGGTGGCCTCAAGCACGGAACTTTGTGAAAGCAATGTCAAGCGGGACTGGAATCCCTCACAGGGCGAGACATCCGCGGCGGGGCAAGCGCTGGAATGGCAGGCGCCTGCATATATTGCAGTGCAGTGTCCTGGTCCTGGTCCTTGACGTGAAGTGTGAAGACACGCTGACACGACATGGAGTGCACCTTTGGCCTGTCCGATCTTGGAATGCGGGCTGAAGACCTCAACCGCAAGCATTGCTCCATTGCAAAAGATCGTGCGCACTTTAGGATTCTTCCAGCTAACGAGTCAAAGGGCGAAGACGCTGAGGGCATCTCCTGCGTTTGTGCACGTCTGCAGGCATGCTCAAGAAGCTGAAATAAGCTGAAGTACCCATGAGTAGGTAGGCAGGCTGTGGCAGGTGGCATGGGCGGCTTCAATAGGAGTACCAACGAGACTAACCACCTCCTCCTGCTGCGTCGTGGTTGGATAGAGCACTAGAAGTAGAAGTTGACGCAACTGAATCCTGAGGCCCCTGACCATGCGAGAACACAGTCCTAAAGTCTTAGCCCTCAAGTCCACTAAGCATCACAGTTAAAATGGGACAAAACCATGTTGGTGCCGTCTGCTGCTTTCCTCACGTGCAAATTGCAGAGGCCATTGCAAACGCCTTTCGGGAATCACGCCCAGTGGTTACAGACTTCGTCAGCTGGCAGCTTGGGATGACTCGTGCTTGTACAACACCCAGTGCAGGATGGTTTCGGGGATGACAGTCATGAGGATGTTTGACCCATGCGAAACCCAAAAGAGGAACGGGGCAAGGGACTGGTCACCCCATTACCCGATGACAGAGGTTGAGTATCTCGAGTCTCACGCGAGGAATTGTCTGCTTGGCTCAATGTCGCCTGCCCTGGTCATATCTCTATCCCACATACACAGTTCGCAAAGCAAAGCTCCAGCTCCTGTTGGGCTTCGCCAAGGTGAGCAGAACCCACCTCCAAAGACAGCACAACAGCTGTAGAATGCCTTCACTCTCAAGACTCAAGACCATCACCATGGAAACAAAGGTAGCCCTCAACCTAAAGCATCGACGCATCCTCCCCTGTCTGCCCGCTACTCTGCTTCATGGCTCGTAGCTGCTGCAAGGCCAGCTTAGTATTGCCATCTCTTGCAGTTGAGCCTGTTGGTCCTGCCCGCTTTGCACAGGTAGTGATGGCACAGTTGGTCTTGCACGCCGTTCATCCTCAATTGAACGCCAAGCGATTGCAAAGGGTCTTGAAATATCGTTGGATGACCGCCGCTGCATAAAACACCTGTATTGCAGACAGCCAGCCATCTCGAAGTATGCGGGACGTCCGCAACAACACAAGCTGGATCCCATGCATCCCACCGAAAAAAGTGCTGCTGAGTGACTGAGGCAAAAGGCCGCTTAGACCCAGAGTCTCCTTGTCCAAGGCTTGGTTTTCTCATCAGCTCTCTGTACATTTCCAAACACCAAACTTTGCTGCCGAGATGTTCAATTCCACTTCCGAACTACTCCGTCCCCTTGCCCAGTGGTTCTACCGTTCTCCCTATGACAGGGTCCTGGACCGGGCACGACAGGCACACCCGAGCTCTTCGGCATTGCCTGCAGCTCTATGACTCCATGCATGACTCGCCTTCAGCCTCAAATATGCAAACACCGAAGCACTCACGGCACACATGTCCGACATTGTCCGACACTTTCACACGCGCACCTCCACATTTGCCCGAGCTGCCGCTAGTGGCAGCACGGTGCATCTTGGCAGCTTCAAGCCTTTTTCGAATGTTCAACTTGCTAGTATCCAGATGTTGCCAACAACCTGCTGAAAATTGCAAGTTGCCTCGCAGAACCGTCGAGGAAGCTGTGCGACAGAGTGGGCAAGGCATTCGTCGTACCAGCATCTGACTGGAACAGCTGGAGCAGAAGATGTGGCGGCAGGATAGCCATAGATCCCATTCCTCACGATCTTCACGGCAAATCCAGCAGCAGTTCCTGGCACTCCACACGGCAACTGTTCAGCACAGCTGGTTCCAGTAGCACCTACAACCATATTTCTCCCAAAGTGGGCATGGTTGCCCTTGTCATTAGCTGACAGCAACTTGGACAGCAAGCGCACCACTCTTCTGAGACAGTAACTTAGGTTGAGAAAGTTTCTGTTTACTTGCCTATTGGGCAGCAACTCAGGCTGCTGAAGACTGACAATCGAGTTGAGACGGGGCCAGTCACCCTGGGCCTGGTCCACCTAACTGTCTGCCTTTCAAATGCTTCCAGGTGTCTCCGCATAGTCTTCGTACGAGGACAGGACGCAGCGATCCCGTATCTTTTCAAAGGGCCTTCCCAACAGAATGGCCCTCGCCAAACCAACTTGAAGAACCTGCACGCCACAGTAAACTGGAAGAGGTACAATGTATGAGTAAGACTCTGACTCTCCACCATGGGAACGCTGCATTGCTTGGCCTGCTTGCCGTCTTCCAGGAACTCGTTGAGAAGCCGGACCTGCGGATCATCTTGATCAAGGTGGGCCGCATTTCTGCGCGGCACAGTTGCCTTGGAAGCATGAGCAGGAAAAAGGGTAGGAATGTCTGATCGACGACAAATGGAACCTCATCATAAGAACAAAAGCAGGCGTCCACTATTGCTGGCGACTCTTCCCCCGCAAGGAAGTCATACACTCGTGCACGCCAATCCTGCTGGGGCGAGCTTGCGGAAAGTGGCTTCATTCCGCGAATCTGCATTTCCACAGCCTGACCTTCATAATTCACTAGCTTAAACAACTGCAGAGCATCTGCACGTAAACTAGTGCAAGTGGACCACAAACATCTTCTTGTCAGAGCGACAGGGGCGAATCTGAAAGTTCTACTGCCCCATTACTGTATGCACACAGCATCTTCTCTGCAGGTCCTCGTCATTGTGCAGATCTGCATTTCGTCGCCAGCCCATCCGCATGAACTCGATGAAGCGATTCCCGCCAGAGTACATACGCTCAACTGGTGTGTGCTGGTGCGTCCCCATGCACAGATACCTTGACACAACTGAGCTGTGGCCTAAACCCTTTGAACCTTTGGTTCTCGTATCAATCACTATCGCGGAACCTTGCGTTTTACTGACGCGGTCACAGTGCCAGCACATCGCGAGCTTCTGCTGCTCTTTTCCACTGACGCGA